ATATATATGTTCTAGTATTTATTTATTATTTATTAACCAATTTTTTTAAAAAATATTTTAAAGGCCAAAAATAACATAAAAAATCATCTTAAAAGACATATTGAAACATCTATTAATAAAATACTCGCTCGAGTATAATGGTTAATTTGAATATGTAAAAGTCTTGAGTAATATACTCTCCCTTCCTTAAGAAAATATTTTCCCTTGATGTTTCAGTGCTTCCAGCTTAACCACCGAACAAACCCAGGTATAAATAATTCATCTAAGACCTTTTGCTCTCAAGTTATTATTATTATTATTATTATTATTATTATTATTATTATTATTATTTAGTCTAAACAAATATAAAATGTTTCAGTTATAAACGAATGAAATGTACAATAATCAAAGAGAATATATCAAGGTTGATTGGAGATACGAGTTACACATGTTACCACATCAAATGCATTTTTTGCATGTTGATTCAAATTATAAACTCTGGCTTGCACTGTGTTAGACATCTCTGAAGTTGTCCACTCTCTTTGGTTTCCCTTAGGCATTATAAATGTAGTTTACCTCCCTCTCTACTTGCAGAACCCTCATTGTTTGCTTTAGGTGATAGAATCCTTTACCTCTCTGCTTGCCTTGAATGATCTGATATAGAATCCGACATTTCCTCAAGTATCTTCCAGGGCTAGTTCACCATCATATGGCCAAAATGTCCACATCTAAAACATTATCCAATAAGTAACACTGTCCTGAGTGTCTTCTCCCATAAGTAGCATATGTTGATATATTATTGAGTGATGTCGTAGAACCCTTCTTTGACTCTTCTGCTTCAAACACACTTTTCTTTTCATTGAAATTGTGCCCAATCATCTCTCCAACAAATCTCTTTCTACTCATATCAAACTCTTTTTAGATATTAACATATCATTTTCTACTAATCTTGATCTTTCCACTAACTCTAAAAATCCTTGAATCCTCAATGGAGCCAATGGATGTCTAAAATCATTCTAAGAAGATGGTAACATTGTTCCTCAGCAGTACAAACTAGTTGTGGTGCATATCTTTCCAAAACAATAAATTTAGCCTCGTGTTGCACAATAGTTACTCCATGCATTAACCTTATGAAGGCCTCCTACAGTTGTTGTCTGACGGATGGAGGCACAAACAACTATTTGAAAGTATGAACAAATTCCTCGAAAGTAATCAGTGAAATCAGCCTACCTTGAAATTTCTCTCATTGTTGGGCTAACTACAAATGATTTGCTTTTCCTTCAAATAAAAATACATTTAGTTGTACCTTACGATTATCTTGACACTACATGTTATCAAAGATCTTCTCTATCATCAATAATGAATTCTATGCTACCTGGGGCTCTACTGCTCCCATAAAAAGTGGAGGCTTCAATCTATAAAACAATTGTAAATGTTTATCACCTTCTTCTACCTTACTTGGGGACATCGTGTTATATGTGTCTCCCATTATCAGAGCTACTAAACTAGCAAACTATAATATAAAGTCTGATGTCATAGCCACCACAATACTCTGTACCGATAATGAATGATTAGAATTCTTCCCATTAGTTATCTTTTGTTCTTAGGAATCCATATCATCTCAACCACATCACTCTCAAACCTAAATAATCCTATATAATATCTCAAATGATGCACATGCATGCATGAACACAATAAAATAAAATTATTAAAGTATACAATTCTACTCTCATAATTAAATCCTATGACTCTGTACTTAATCAATTTCTTCAAAAAATATTGCTTTGATACTAATTTAATTTGTCATGACCTGACCTAATATAACTCATATACGACAATAGATTATACCAAGTCAAGTGTGCAACAAATTATGTAGCCCAAAATTTATTTAGAACAAATTTATTTATCTTCTAATTTTCATTACACAGTCACAAGTCACCGATAATATTATAAAAAATATACTAAAGATCATCATCATTTTCATTTCTTTATGTACATCACAAATATTTTCATCCAAAATATTTTTATACATTGATCATAATTTTCTAATAATCCTAACAAAATATACAGATTTATTATTATTACAAAATATATATAAAATATAACTCCATCAGCAAGTACTATCATCTGACCCCACTAGATCCTTACCCTTCCCTTAAAACATATAAAAGCAGCAAGAGTGAGCAAAAACTCAGTAGGTTACACGAAATCTATAATTAAATTAAATTCATGAAAAAAGAACAATATGCATGATTGCATTATCATTATATCATGTACGCTAAATAAATAGTTTATAGGTCACTAAACTTGTATATGTATACTATAAGACATGTAACAACAATATAATATAAAATCATAGTAATAGAAGGGTAAAAAAAATTCATATCTTTAAGCACAACTATCATCCACATATATTATACAAATTATGTGATCTAGCTAATCATTCCCTACAATAATCATAGTAAAACATGTACAATATCATATCATTTCATGCAATAAAATCTGTCAGAACAGTCAGTTATGTGACATAGTACACGGGAGTTGCCACCTTCAACCCGTTGACACTTATATCATATCATATTCATCCATTATAACTCTTAACAATATAACTGGTTTACACCACAAACCCATTAAAAGAAAAGCTCGTCGGCCCACTCTTCTACGCAGGGTATCATATCTCCGCCAGCCTAAATCATAGTAGCCAACCTTTTGCATACACACATTTCACAATATAATAACATTTTAAGCAGTTATAATATACTCAGCATCACATTTTATAAGTAAAACATGCATATAAAACAAATTAAGAAGATCCACAATGTGCTATAATATGATCAATCTATGTTATCAATCAAAATAGAAATTGCATTTTAAGTATGTATATAGTCATCTTTGGCTTAGTATTTCATAATATAAATAATTTTAGTTGCATTTTTATAAAGTTTTATATAACTCAAATTAAGACTTTTGCCACAAACAAAAGAAATACCTTGCGAAAATTCACTATACATATGCCAAAATATGCAGAATAGCGAGGACGACAACATATTAAAAGTTACACGAGAAAGTGTCCAAAATATCATCAACTTTGTAAGTTTTGTGCAACTAAAAGTTTGGAAAACATACGAAAAGACAATCATTAAAATTAGAAGTAGCGTAATGAAAATCTCATTTCCATTTTTTTTTCCTCACGTTTCAAAATTATAAAATACATAGTAAGATTTTTAAGAAAGTTATTTAGGTGGAATTTGATATATAAAAATGTGTCATGGATATATGTGCAGTTTTTTAAACTTTTGATTTCAATTGCAAGTTTTATATAAAATGTTTTCAATCTTGAAATTCAAAACTCTAAAAATTATGAAAAAATAGTCATGAGATAACTTATCGTGTCCACATCACTCTGACAAAAATGATTTACAAAACATTATCAAATGACTCCAAAAATAAATTCATGCACGCACATATACATTTTTTTTATATATTTATATTTATCATTAATCTTTTATAAACTACAATCATACCATTAATATTTTATTTTTTATATTTATTTTATCATAGAAATAAAAAAAAAAATTTGTAGCAATTAAAATTCATCATTTTTTTATATTTTAGTGAAGACATTTATAAATCATGCTTATAAATGATTCATAAAAAATATTCAAAGTTTACATTTCAGATAAAAAAAATAAAATACCAACTTATATTACAAAACAAATATTGAGTTCTATACATACTAGAACATGAATTAATAAAAACTTCTCTCATTTAACCTTACGTACAAATAATAATGCCTAACGAATCTCTAAAATAAAAAAGAAAAAACCTAGTAAGGGGCAAGAATACAATTTGTACAAGTTGTCTACAGTGTTGATGGGGTGTCTGAAGAAATCTTCATGGTTTGGTCAGTTAAGCAGGTCACAAAGGGATTACCTGAAGCACCCACGTCGACCAAAATGGTGTCGCCGGGCTTGAATTCTCCTGCAAGGATCGCTTCGCTGACTACATCTTCGATGATTTGCGTGACTGCCCTCCGTAATGGCCGGGCGCCATAGCTCTGGTCATATCCTTGCCGGCAAACAAGTTCTTTAACCGAATCACTGACTTCTAGACCCATCCCAAGAGACAACAACCTGCCCTTCACTTCTTTCAACATTATGTTGAGAATTTCCATCATCTGAAACAAGGGGAAAGATAGTAAGATTGTTAATTTGAAAACTTGGAACTCGCAGAAATTTACATGCACGGGGCACAGGAATTTCACTATTGAAGTGAAAGAAAAGAAAAATGGCAAGAAAATTGAAGAACACAAGAGATTTTATGAGGTTCGGCAATAAACCTACGTTCTCGGGAGCGGAGCGGCGGTTTCTATTCCAGAAGTAAAAATATGATTCCCATGAATTACAAATATTATATATAAATACAAATGAAATTAAAAAAATATTCATGCACTGCGGGGGCCCCCAACCCACCTAATGAAACTCTTCTATTTGGACAGATGCTTCCACAGTGCTCCAGCATCTGTCCCTTATCACGCAGATGAGCCATACCTAACAACTATTACTATTGGGAATGTTTTGTTTAGTGCATGTGGAGTAAAGAAAATTTATAAAAAATAGATTCTTGGCTGCTTTTGCAGCATTTACTTAATGTCACTGAAGTGAACTAACTGAACATGAATATAATATTAAGGGAAATTTATATACGTAGCACACAATTCTTATGAATTTACAGATCTCACACCTAAACTTTTATATTTATATACACATGATAATTTATTGTTTTAAATTTATTCATGAAAAGATGTATTTCACTTTTAAAAAGTAATAATAGTGCTATTTTTTACGTGATAATAAAGATTTGAGTGTTATGTGTAAATAGAAAACTTCAGGTGTGAGATATAAATACATAAGAATTGTGTTATGTATGTAAATGCCACTAATATTAAATATCAACGCTAGTTTAGGGGAAAACACTATAATTTCCATGAAATTTCAACCAACGAAACAGCCGATAATATGGTTAACAAATGTAAATAAAAAGCCAAAGTAGACGGCACCTGGAGAGCTTAGAAAGATAAGAACAAAATACAACAGAATAGAAGCAAACCTGCTCCTTCTCGAGAGGACGGAACACAACCACCTCATCTATCCTGTTTATCAGCTCAGGTTGAAAATAGGCCTTCATTTCTTCCATAACAAGAGATTTCATTGCAAAATAAGAAGTTGAGGCGGAATCCTCCGCAAGCATAAAACCAATGCTTCTCCTACCCTTTGATATTGATGTGGAACCCACATTTGAAGTCATGACTATCAAAGTATTTTTGAATGACACCCTCCGCCCCTGTCAAAACCAAATAATTACAGGTATGGGTTAAGTCCTAAATCACACTTAATTCATAATAGAAATAACCCAAACTCATGATCTGTTTCATTTGTACTGAAAGCTAATAAATGCATGTAATGAAATGACGGACAGAATAGTATGTCATAGTGAACTGCACTAATAAAACCTTACAAATTCATAATATGGAACAGAAGTTTAAAGCTCTTCTTCTCAATGTCTAATAACCGCACTGTAGTGCTTGGTTTGAATAAAGTTGAAACAAGAAGGTAATTAAATCCTTTTCCTAGGTCTGAAAGGTTATGCATTTGGGAAGTTATTCATAATGAGAGGAGTGTAGGATAAACCCACGCCAAATAAAAGCAGCCATATGGTTGCATTTTTTAAACTCAAATTTGTGATGAAAATAAGGCATGGTGTAAGATAATTTTCACCAGCAGTATTTAAAGCTAAACTCGAAAAATTGCATGCCAAACATCTCATAGAGCTTTCAAAAGTAGCGAATGGTGAAAGAATAAGAAAAAGTAAAGCCTAAATCATGCTCCACCTGACCAGTCGCTCTCTCTCTACCTGACCAGTCTCTCTCTCTCTCTCACACACGCACACAAACAACTGAAAGCTTTTAAAAGCAAGGAGATCAAAGAATATGGCCCACACCATGCTCTAATTGACCAATGACCAAGCACACCTTTGTGTGTGTATCTCTCTCTCTATCTCTATCAAACACGTGCATACACACACAACTTCAAGAATAATAATTTTGCACTCAACCAAATGGCCCCTCAAGCATTAAGACTGAAAGAATAACGAATGTATACAGCCTATACAAATGCGCCAACTGACCAACGTTCTAGCATACCTCTTACTCTTTCTTAAGAACATAATAAATTAATTCTAAGAGACGAGATGCCAAGGGCTTGTTCGTTATCACTTTAATTTTTTACTTTTTATTTTTCCTTTTCTTTTATTTTAAAAACATGTAAATTACTATAATTTTTGCATGTTTTTATTTTTTGTTTTCTAAAACAAGCCAGCTTATTTTTTAAAATACTCAATACATCTAAAAGTTATTTTAAGTGCTTTTAAAAACAATCAAACATGTTATAACATATCAAATATATTTTATTTCAAATAAAAACATAAAAATAACAAAATAAAATTAAAAATAAAAAACAAAAACAAAATTTAAAACTGATCCTAAACTACCCAAAAAAAAAAACTTAGGAAAAAAGAAACCAACTAAACTCATAATAGTAATAATAATAATAATAATAACTACTAAAAAAGATTTTGCAACCAGGAGAAAGGGAAAAAATTTGGAAAAATGTTTCCAATTGATGGCAGCATGTTGTTTCCGGTTCTTTTACCCTCAAATCCAAACGATGTTCCAGTTGGCGAGGATTGATGAAACAAAAACAAGTTACAGGGTTTTGCTTTCACAGGCAAAATCTTTTGGCAATGTACGTAAACTTGAGATGTCTGATCTTTTCAATATAAAGCTGTCCATCAATCAATTCTGCATGAACAGGCATCAGGCAATTTTTTGTGAAAAAGTAAGCTCAAGGGAAATGAAATGAAACTTCATGCAACTTGGATGGATTATAAGTTAGCTAGCATATATCAGAACCTCTTCATAGTAAAGTAGTAAATGTAGAACTTTGGGCTCTTTTTTCAATCACATTTCATTATTACTTCTTCCATCCAACAGGCTTGGTTAACTTGATTTTCAGAATTGCCTAAGGTACCAAACGGCCAAAGGAACTAAATATTTGATTTCATTTCATGCTCTACATTTCAATTCCTTCATTCGAATAAATCAATAGTAGCCCTGACTGGCCACTTAAGTAAATGGAGCCATTGACTAACTCAACAATCTATAGAAGCAACAGAAAGTGAAGCTCCATAAACTTAAAAAAAAAGCATCGAATGCTATAAGTAAAATCAAAGACATGAATGTAAGTTATTGTGTCATGTGCCCAGTTCAGATCAATCACCTGTGCATCTGTTAGGTGGCCATCTTCAAAAACTTGAAGAAGGATGTTAAATATATCAGGGTGAGCCTTCTCTATCTCATCTAGTAAAATTACTGTAAAAGGTCTTCTCCTAACAGCTTCTGTCAGAGTACCGCCCTCTCCATAGCCGACATATCCTGGAGGAGAACCTATTAGCTTGCTAACTGTAAACCGTTCCATGTATTCGCTCATATCCAGCCTCAACATTGCTGACTCCTGAACAGTGAAGATAATTATAAACAAAGATAACTATCATTTAGTTAAAGCATGCAAAATTTGGTATCTGGATTCTTCCCCATTTTGTGAATAAGTAACTCATTAAAGTAGCCCCAATATGTTGAAGCAAGCATTAAATAGCTAAGGATAACCTGATAAGGCAATAAAATTAAGAGAAAAGCATGGCAAAGAATAGTTTTTTGTTTGGCCTGCTTGAAACAAGATAGCATACCAGCAAAACACGATGATAACGCTAGTAAGAACAACTTTAAGAACATGAAATTTCATTTTTATCAGGTAGCTTAAATGAATTATCAAACGAAGGAAAAAAAAAGTTCTAGCATAGCACAAATAAAAGGCAGATTTTTTTATTATTTATTTTTTTTTATTTTTTTTTGCAAAACATTTTTAGACAGAAACATCTTAGCAGACGCTCTGAGTTCAGAAAAGTAGAAACTCATCGTAGAAATTGCAGGACTTGATGCATTAAGTGTAAGCATGATTTTAGCACATTTTTTAATTTTTGAGACTATTAATTTATTGTTATCTCTGTTCATATCCCAATGAAAGCATCTAATAGCGCCAAAAATGTAAGACTATTGTTGCAAAATCAAGGGAGTATAGAAAAAAATAAGTCTACATTGGACATATTACCGATCCAAAGTAAGTAGCTGCTAAAGCTTTTGTAAGCTCTGTTTTACCAACACCCGTTGGCCCACAGAAAAGCATAGCAGCAATTGGCCTGTCAGGATCCTTGAGGCCAACACGTGACCTCTTTACAGCTCTAGAGATTGCACTGACAGCATCATTTTGGCCAATAACACGTTTTCTTAGTTCCTCATCAAGACCAACCAGAAGCTTCATTTCATCAGTAGTGAGCTGCTTGACAGGAATGCCCGACCACAATGAGGCAACCAAAGCAATTTCTTCAGGTCCAACAATGACAATCCTGAATAAACATACATTTTCATGAGAGAAAGGTTCGTTAAGATTTGAGTAAAGCATTTTGAAGAGTAAAACCTAAAAACACATTTTCATGACGCAGAGTGAAAGAGAAATTAAATGCAAAATATTGCAGCTTCGGCATGATTCAAAACCCTTGCAATCAAGAAATTAAGCCAATTTTGCATTTCCTTTCCCTCACTTTACAAAAAATCATTTAAAGGATAGCAAAGCTACATACTCTTCTTCTGATGCCGAAAGAGCACGTGACTCAGAGATGTCATCGATGCCTCCTGTCAAGTCATGACCATCTGAGCTGCTCCTAGTAGAGGTATATTTCTGCTTATTTTCCATAACCTGAATAAAGATAAAGCAAGGTGGTTGAAGCTACCATAATTAATGGCATATCCAAGGAAACACGTCATTAAAAAGTAGGGGCAATTACATACATAGCACAAAATTCTTATGTATTTACATATCTCACACCTGAATTTTCATATTTACACACATAGCACTCAAATGGTTAATATCACATCAAAAATAGCACTACTACCAATTTTTAAAAGAGCAATACACCTTTTCATGCATAAGTTTAAAGCTCAATGAGCTATGTATGTAAATATGAAAGTATAGGTGTGAGATATGCCTACAAAGTATTACCACTTGGTGCATAGCCTGTACTGCTCTTATTTCTTGCCAGTAATCGCCGGGTAATTTCGACAATATGGAAGTCTCTTCTTCCTTCTTTCTCTTAAATGCATTCATTCGGGCCCTACTGCCAGCTTCGTCTATTAAATCTATAGCTTTGTCAGGAAGATGCCTATCAGGAATGTATCTTGCTGAGAGAAATACAGCTGCATTGATGGCTTCCAAGGTAAATCTACATCTATGATGGCTTTCGTATTTCTCTCGAAGGCCCATCAATATTTTCACAGCATCCTCCTATGAAATGTTTAAAAAACAAGTTAAACGCATTAAAAAAAATGGTTTAACAAGAAAAATTTTATAAAAACATGCCTGGCATACCTGGCTTGGTTCATTTATGAGAACAGGCTGGAATCGACGTTCTAAAGCTTTATCCTTTTCAAAGTGTGTCCTATACTCATCTAGGGTTGTAGATGCAATGCACTGGAGATAATTACAAAAATGCACATTGAATACCACTCAAGTTGCAAAAAATACTAACATCAAAATAGATGCAGCACAGAAACCGCTACAAAAAAGCATTGCAGATAAAGATAAAGAAAATGATAAAGCTTCTATCTTTATGATACAAAATGACAAAAACTATATCTTTCTCATGCAAAATAATTAAAAAATGGTAAATGTTGTATTATTATTAGTATATTTTGATGGTGCTTCTTAGATGATTTTTAAAAATAAAGCAAAAAAAAAAGTTAAAAATTAATGAAAATCTAATTGATTAAAATGATTAAATATAAATTTTATAAAATAAAAAATACATAATTTTATTTTATATATTGATCAGCATATTTTTTTGAGCAATCATGCTAAACATTTGCATAATAAAATAATAATTATTCATTAAATTGTTTTAAACTTAATAGTTATTTAACTATTATTTCAAAAAAAAAATATGCTAAACTGAAATGACTTATATGAGTGCGTTTGTTTACAAGAAAATAAAGAATGTTGATGATGAGTAGTAAACTATTTGTTTTATATTTTGTCACTTTTATGATATTATTTGTTTTGCAGGAGCAAAGTGGACTATCTTATGTATTTAGTTAGAGGATATTTACTTAAGTATCATGATTAGTTATTTTTTTATAATTAAATGTTATTATAGAGTAATGTTCCTGTTCATAAATATTTTCTTTCACTGTTCAACTGTTTGCTTCTGCCTTGCTTAACTATAAATTTTTGGGCATGGAAATGACAAAAGTAGTATCAACAAGAGGTTAGGTTTTCATCTTGATCAAAAAGAGCTATTAGGATTATTGTTTTAAGTTTTAAATGGTATAAATAGAATTTTGTACTACGCCAAATTAGATTCTTTTATCCTATATTTTAAAATCATGAATAATTAAAAAGAAATCAGACAGGATGATATAGGAATTGTAATACCACATATTTAAGATTTCATTCTTAGTGTTTGGTACAATTTTATCATATAGTATCTATCAACTCCATAGGATAGACCAATATGGATATTGTTTGATATGGGGGCCTCGCACTCATTTATAGCAAATGAGATGTTCAGAATAATGGATTTGAATATCATATTATTGGAAAGAGTTTTATCTGTTAAAATGTCAAATGAAAGTCATATGGAGTTAATCAATTATATGAAGCAAAATTGAATATTAATGAGAGACATTTTAATGCATAGTTGATTGTATTGTTACTAGTTAAATTTGATGTAATCGTAAATATAGATTGGTTATCTAAAAAAAATTATAACCATAAATTATAATAAAAAGACTTAAAATTAAGGAATCTGAAAAGATAAAAATCAAATTTTATAGTGATAGAGAGTTGACAACTATGATAATCACATATTTGAAGTCTTCAAAATTAATGAATTATAAAATTTAGATTTTCTTACTCAAGTGAAAGATATTATTAAGTGGAATCATTGAAGGATATTGCAGTGATGGAGTATCCAAAAGTTTTTCTAGATTTATCAGAGATACTACTAGTTAGGGAGATGGATTTTATCATTGAGTTTTTGTCAGTTTCTGAGCCAGTATCCAAAGCACCATATAGAATGGCAATAAAAAGTCACATGAGTTTAGAATTTGTAAGCAAATCACATTGGGGAGCTCCAATTTTATTTGTAAAGAAGATGGATTAAAATTTTAATATGTGAATTAATTACAGAGAAATGAATAAGCTTACCATTAAGAATAAATAGCCACTGCAGATGATTGAAAACTTATTTGATTTGCTGAAAAGGGGCATTTACATTTTCAAAAATTAATCTGAGATCAAGATATCATCAACTAAGGATTAAGGAGGATAAAACAAATACAACATTCAAAATCATATATGGGCACTATAAATTTGTGATCCTATCATTTAGGTTGACTAGTGCTTCAGTGGTACTCATGAATCTGATGAATAGACTTTTTAAACAGTTATTGAACATATTTCTGATAACTTTTATAGATGACATGTTAGTATATTGAAAGAATGAAAACAGACATTCAGATTATCCTTATGATGTTCTATAAGTTTTAAAGGAAAATCAATTATATGTAAAATTTTTCAAGTGTAAATTTTGATTGAAAAGTATGGCTTTTTTTGGGCATATAATTAGTAAAAATACTATATATGTGGATCAAAACAAGATCAAAGCAATTGAAAATCAGCAAAGACCAACTATATATGAGATTAATGAAAAAGTTTTCTAAGATTGTTATGCCATCATCCAAACTGACACAGAAGATAATGAAATTTGAATGTACAAATCGTTGTGTAAGACATTTCAGAAGCTAAAAACTTTTTTAATTACTGCCACAAATTTGAGAAATACCCACAAGAATGTGGATATCAATGAGAACCTAACTTCTAAAGTTAAGTAAAATAGGATTCTTGAAACAACCCTAAATAGTCGGAATAATCTAATATAGAAAACATGAAGAAAAACCATAAAGCATGACCTGAGATGTAAATGTTTCACCAAGAGAAAAGTAAGTTTTCCTCATAATAAATACTCAGCCGAGACAACAATTCCAAGAGATTATATTAATGGAGGATCCATTCAATAACTGTAAATCAAAGTTGAGGCACTACCTGCAATTCGCCTCGTCCAAGGGCAGGCTTCAACAAGTTCGAAATATCAAGACCCGATCCCTTGTTCCCTCTCCCAATCGTGCCAGATCCAACTAATGTATGAACTTCATCAATGAACAGAATCACGTCACCTGCATTTACATATAAGTTCAGTGTAACATAAACTTCAATTAGGACATAAAAAATACAACAAATTGTATCGTAATGACCTGCTTGCTGCACTTCAGCAATTAACCCTGTAACACGAGCTTCCAATTCTCCTCTCTCCTTTGCCCCAGCCATCAGCAAGCCTATGTCCAGTGACATTATGCGCTTTCCCTATACAGCATGAAAAGCCAATCAAAGCATTTATTATCAAAACTAGACAAAACAGCTACAAACAACATGCAATATAGAGAACATACAGTAAGAAAAACTGGAATGCCACCACATGACATTCGCAGTGCCAAGCCTTCAGCAATTGCTGTTTTGCCAACTCCAGGATCTCCCAGAAGAATAGGGTTGTTTTTGGTTCTTCTGCATAGGATTTGAACAACCCTCTGAATCTCAATGTCTCTACCAATTACAGGATCTATATGCCCTTCATTAGCCCGAGCAGTTATATCAACACAGAACCGAGCCAACATACTCTTATCTGGAATTGAGAAAAGTAACATGAATATGCAATACTAGGTGCTTCCAAAAGGATAGCTGCAGTAACAGTGAATTCAGAAGAAAACTAGCCTTTTGATTTCTCTGAAGGCTTTGCCTGTGCAGCTTTACCACTAGGAGATTTTTGCTGCATCTTCGAAGATACTTTTGAAGTTTCTCTGCCATCTTTAGCAAGTTCTCCCTGAAGCCTCAAAAGTGCCGCTGAGGTTAAGTTACTGGCATCAGCTCCCAATCTACAGTAATCATTCAAACATGATCATTATAATGCCAAAATTCACAGAATGAAAAAGCACAAAAAATATATTATTAGCACAAAAAAAAAAAAGAGATTGATTGCAATCTTGGCTTAAATCAATCTAATCCATTTTTGGCTGTTTTGCCATTCCCTCCATAACCAACACTAAACAACATATCATAGTCTCTCTAGGCTACATGCATCATGCTAATCTACCCTACATTCAAAAAGGTCAATTCACCAGCAGCATCAGACTAAGTACTAAATTTAGAAGAGGTTTCCATCTTGAAAATGATCCTATAGTCAGCTCTATACTAAACAAGGTACAAATTAAAAACACTTTTCTTGGTACTAATAAGGAACAAATTGCATTAATTAAAAAAAAAATAACATGAATATCTTGAAGTCACCAAATCGAATTCTATCTATTAAAATTTCACAAAACTTGTAACAAAACTAAGAGTGAAAGATTCTCATGCCAGAAAGGGAAGGGGTATATGTTTCATTAACATGAAACCATAACCTACAATTTAAACCTCAGAAAAACATTATAAAGCTCTTCAGACAACGAAAAGGAAGTCTCTAATACTTGAAGCTCTCGTCAATGCAGGTCTGGGAAGAGTTGGCATGTTTAGCAGTACTCCTATAGTGCAAGGAGTTTTATTTGTGATTCATCGATTAAAAAGACAATCTAACCATATACAACCTTAAAAGTGCAAGAAACTTCAGCAGAAAATAAGAAGTATTGTGTTGTTTACTATAAATTCCAGCTTTGGTTCTGTTGTTGATTACATAAAAACCTTCAATGCTCCACAAAAATCATCTATCGCAAGAATGTAATGGGAGAAAAAGCCTTAAGAGAACATTGTGTGCTCAATGCATGAGACTCCCCTAGATACAGAGTTTGGAGTGAACGTTGTGTACACCCTATACACTCTAAGGGGCACACATGCCTAAGGTGAAAACATAGACAAACTCATTAGCCAAGTTCCAGCAGAAATCACCACTCCAGGTCTGAACAAACTCGTCAGCAAAACTCACAAGAAATCCACTGACCAAGAACTTAGCAAACTCATATGCTAAGGAGACAATATCAACAAGGCTCAAGAAGAACTTGCCCAAGGGAAATCCACCAAACTTGACAGATCCAACCAGACCAAAAGCACTTGTCTACGCCTGGAGAAGCTTTTCAACCCATGCTTTAAAGAGACCTAACAATTCCTCTACGATCTACAACTAGTTTCAGTTTGTACTCAAGGTGTTTGCCCTATTCTCTTAATATTATCTATTTATTACATGTTCAACACATGTTGTAGCTTTTCCTATAGTGTTCAAGATCTAAGGTTCCTACTTATAAATATGGGGGGAGCATGCCGTTCAGGTTCGGATTTCTTTGAATCCTAATCTTGCACTATAGTCATTTGAGCAAACATAATAGAATTTTCTCCCTCCCTCCCTCCCTGTGGGTTAATAAGGTCTTGATATAATCCATGGACAAATCAAGATCCAACAGATTGGATTGGAAGGTATAGAATTTCCAAGGATAAAACTTGTAAGCGCAAGCCCCATATAGGACAACCTAACCATTGTTCCAAGTCCTTTCTCATAATCACAAGAAAACCACATAGGAATGGTTGCATATATAGATTATAGCGCATAACGAAAAGTAAAAGATATCTGAATTGCTAACAAGATGCAGTAGGATCCATATGTAAATGAACTCCTAAAAGCATTATTACTCTTTCTTTTCCTTTTGAAGAAAATATGTGTTCTACATGCAGAGCAAATTCGCATGCATGAAGATAATCCATTAAAAGTCCTTAGTAGCACATTATTCTTAAGGAAATTTACCAATTGACAAGCATCAACTAATTATTTAAAACCCATAAAATTCTTATGAAGACTGAAATATGTTGTGCCCGTGATAGCAACACCAGTTCTCGGTTTGTGCAAATGAATACAAAACAAGTAAACCTGATCTGCAAAATTTAACAAACTAGGGGGTTGTTTGTTAGCACCTTTTATTAGGATTTATCGCACGATTTACTAAATCCAATCAAAAGTAAAATGCAAGAATTTCATGGAAGAATTTTTGGATTTAGTAACCCAATTTTGCGTTAGATAAAATTCGGATTTACTAAATCTAGGGGTTGGGTGGATTTACGGATTTATGAATTTACTAGATCCTACTAACACTAAATCCTACTTGTAGCCAGACAACCCCTAAAGACCAATTGATTCCCTGACATCACAATTTTGCCTCTGTATGTACTCAATTTCCTGTCATTGATAAAGACTTTCATGGCATGGACACAATCATTCAACCGCACCACAAAAACATAAATCTAGTAACAAGTAACAAAAGATCATTGTAAATGGAAAGAGGTGATTAGAAGGGGTAAGGATCAATTATTGTACACCAAAAATACCATAGCACAAAATTGAGGAAATCTGACAAGTCAAAGGAGACGTGGTCAAAAAGAACCCACCAAAGGTTAAAGTACACAACACATGAGTCGGACACGTCCGCCAGCTTAATTCCCTTGAAGTAAGATCCAAATTCAATTGACAAACCACAAAAGCTGATCAGCCAATGAGAGTCAATCGGCCAAAGATTCTGCCGACCACTAGAACCCAGCAAAGCCAGCCGAGCGGGCTCTCGACGATCCAAAGATTAGTGGCCGCAGGAAGCCAATCGATAAGAAGAGTCGAGATGAAGACTTATTTATTTATTTATCCATTCACACATGAATTTAAATATATATATTTGTTTACTTTTGACTAAACTAACCTTTGGTATCTATACTAAGATAAGGGCAAGCAGCTAATTGTCCTTTTTTGCATCTCTTTTCTCATAAATTGTAGGTCATTTCTACAGTAAAATGCTAATGAATTAGTAGTAAAACTCTAAAAGCTTTAACTTACATTACACCGGATTCAACGGTTACCTATTCAGAACGAGCCCCGAGCTTCCATCATCAGCGGTAAATAACCCAATAGCAATATGTTCGGGAGCAATAAAATTACATCCCGTTGACCTCGAGAACTCCACAGCAGCCTCAAAAACTCGCTTGCTGCTAACGGAGAAGGGCATGTTCGTCGCAGATGGCTCCGTCCCATCCACATCAGCCGCCAACACGTCGTTCCAAATTGCCCGCACGGCATCACGGGCCCGGCCAACGGTGATCCCCGATCCAAGAAACCCGTCCGGGGACCGATCCTCCGCAATTAAGCCAAGAAGCAGGTGCTGTGGAAAGACCAATTCCTTTCCAAGGTTTTTTGCCTCCCTCTGGGAGAACACCACAGCTTTAATCCCTCTTTCTGTGAATCTCTCGAAAACAGCAGATATTGGTTGCTTCCACCTTCGGCGGGAGTTGCTGCAAGGGTTTGCACGACGGACAAATAAGGGATTGGAGCTGGGGTGGAGCAAGCCAGTACGAAAAAAAGATTGGGATGCCCGAGATGCCCGATGCGAGAGCACAGTGGGTTGGGAGGGACGGAAGCTGGCGCGACAGTGGTGCCCAACGCGTAAGAAATCAATCGGACGGATGGTCAGGATAGAGGAGGAGCAGCACGCCTCCATAGTCGTACCTATTGCTGGTCCTTCTCGTCTTCTCTCCGCCTTGTCCCACACTTTATTGTGCTCGCTTTGATGAGTTCGAGTTCATAAAAGAGCTTAGAGGGGAAGAGAACTATGACTTGGCGTGGACGGAAGGAGAACGCGGACACGCTAGGTATCTATCAGGCGCGTGCGTGGCGAGGAATGGTGGAGCGCGGAGCGCAGGTCTGCGGCCGGTGGGTAACAGTAACATTTGTTGAGCCCATGTTCATGACCAAGACGAATGCTGTTCTACAACGGAAAATATTTGGTTAACTTACCTGTAACTTATCTGTAACCTACAAATATATAAAATATGAGCATAAAATTACTAGTTACAGGTAGGTTTATGAGTTTCTAAACCATGGCAAAGAAAAAAATCAACTCTAACTTTAATGCCACTCGAATTAAGAATATAACTAGTTCTAAAACCAAGCATAATAGATTATCTAAGAAAATAAAGCCAAATTAATCGTATAGCCTTTATATCAAATCAATATATTCAAAGCTTTAATAGGTAAATTCTCTAGCAATAGGAATGTCAGAGATAAGAAACAAGCAATTATTAGGAACATTTCATTCTTGAGGAAAAAATCAAATTTCATGAATCTTGGGGAATAATTAGATTAATCAAATAAATAAATAAATTTAATTTTTTTTTAAGATTGGCATTTACATACATAGCACACAATTCTCATGCATTTAGATACCTCGCATTATGGGTGCAAACAAATCGAACACTAACTAACAGAGCTTGTGTTCGTGTTCGGTTTGTTTGAAATAAACTCGTATTCAAAATTGTTTGTGTTCGTTTCTTAACGAACGAGCCAAACTAGAGCTGTTCGCGAACGACGAGCCAGTTTGACATCCCTAATATTAATATATATAAATAATATATTATGTTAATTATATAACTTAAAATATATAAATATATAATGTCTATATTAGTATATTACTAATACAATATATTAATATATTATTATTATTAATTTATTATATATTATAATTTATAAAATTTAATTATATCATAAATTTTTAATATATAATTATTTTAAATTATTTTATATTTCGAACAATAACGATTTAAACACGAACGAACGCATCACTGTTTGTATTTGGTTCATTTAACTAACCGAACGAAAAAAATTTATTCCCTTTCGTCTCGTTTACGTATTGAACACGAACTCATTGACGAACCAAACATGAACTGTTCGCAGACAACGAGCTTTTTTGACAGCCCTACCTTGCATAAGAAAATTTTACATTTGCATATGTATTTATAAGAGGGGCATTTATGCACATTTCACTCAAATTTTTAATATCACATAAAAAAGTGTATTATTATCATCTTTTAAAAGCGCAATACATATTTTCATAAATAATATTAACCTCCAAAATATTATTTATGAAAATATGAAAGTTTAAATGTGAGATATTAAAATACATAAGAATTGCGAGCTATCTATGTAAATTCCCCATTTATTTTTTGTTTAGGTGGACTATGTAACTAACTTCTAATGAAGAATATTTATGTAGCACAAAAAAAATTACATGATTAGACATGGATATTGATGCATTTTGGATAAGATAACTTTCAATCTAATTTGAGCTCTAATTTTAATAAATTATACGATTTCAACAATGACATTAAAAGTAATTTGATCCAAGCCTAAATGAGCCAAAGTCAAACACATGATAATTCATTAGAAGATTCAAAGTTGTAATTTAAAGCTCAAATGATCTTTAAATCTGATATGCTTATAATCAAATTAAATATATCTGTGAGAGGAATCTAATGAGCCAAATATGACTTAATTTATAGGTCATTAAGACGCTTAAGTACTAAAAGAATGATCTGTGATCAAAGGAATCAACATGTATGGTATGACTTTTGGAAGATTCACCAACTTTATCAAAATGTCACTCTAAGAGATTATAAATAAACTTCCAATCTCTACATGAGAAGAAGTTGAGTTGAGAGCTAAATCGGAACTCTCAAAGTGAGTTTGAAGTTAATGATTAATAATGATCGTCGATCATTGTCAATAGCTATTATAGGCCAAATATTGTCATATGATTGTTGTCTAATTATTATCGTGAAAGCGTTATTTTATTTCTAATATTTTCAGGGTTTTGTTGCTTAATCATTGTTACCTGAAAACCTCGATTGTAACAAAAGATGGATGAATAATTATTTTAATTGTCTTCTCTAATTAGGGAGAATAATGTAATTCTAAACTTCAATCATGTAGTGGGATATTTTAATTGTGTCTGGTCTCTTGACTTTCTCTTTATGTTTTCCACATAAAAATTATCGCTCTGTTATCACCTCTATTGGTAAATATACTTAATGTTTCTATTGAATAAAGATTTATGTACATCAGATAAGTGTCTACATGAATCTCAAGGAAGTCCAACAGATGATAGGTATAAAGGAGCATAGTATAATGAGGCCCACGAGTGAAAAAGCAAGGGACCATGAGCGGAAGACCAAAGACCCGTGGGGGGAAAACCAAAGGTCTCTCTGAAGAAAATTAAGGGCCCAATATCAGGAGATCAAGTGTTCACTAACATAATACTAGAAGACTTGTCTAATCAAGTGCAACCCATTTTTTTAGTTGGGGTTGAAGGCTAATCAAGCGAAGTCCATCCGAGCCAGAGACCAAAGCTTATCTAATTGAGCGTGAACATCAATCTATATGTTGTCTTAATCCGAGTCAAATAAAGAATTTAGTACTGCTGCCCATCTCATAGACACCCTTGCAGTTCCTTGCCCGAAGTCGAGAATTGGTCGCAACATACTGAATAGAGCATTCAAAAGACCCCTCTTGTCAAGGAGTGAGTTACCAATTGGATTGTTGTAATTTACCATATGACCGTTAGCATATATTTATTCTTTCGACAGAAGTTTCCTATACTGAGATCGATGATTAACATCCAGATTAATACGATCAACAGAGTAAAGTTCAGCCGACTCGAAGAATATCAAAGGTCGCCCAATAACCCAATTCAATACAAGTCCCGACGAACTGGGACTGCTAGTTTGGGTCAACTGAGTCAAAGTAGGGTCAAATCAAAGGCTCAAATACGTAAAATATCAAAAATAACATGTACAACCATCTTAAAAGCATGTACTTAAATGTAACATCATATATTGTGCACTATTTCTCTATGAATAAGGATCATTTCATGAATAAAGGGTTGCAAACTCCTTTTAAATTACTATAATTTCTATTTATTTCTCTCTCTCTCTCTCTCTCTCTCTCTCTCTCTCTCTCTCTTGTCTTATACTCTATCCCTTGGATATAATTTACCGACAGATTTGGATTAAACAACTTATATTTTTATCTATCGTTTAGAATCATCTAGCTTGCATAAAATACAATGAATGAATGTAATTTTCTCTTACTTGATTGCAATTCTAACAATTATTTGCTGCGTTAATTTTAAGGAATTCTGCTCTTTTAAAACCATTAACCCAGACATTCTTAACTTGCTATATGCCACTTACATTTTCTGAGTATAAAATCCCAACCACCAG